TTTTGAGATTACTTTTAGTAAAAAAAAGTTTTCGTTTTAGATAATTTTGAAGTAACTGGATGGGCAGCTTTTGTATTGTTAGCTTTTTATATGGCTGTTAGTAATATCATATTAGTTAATTTACTTGTTGCTATGTTTTCGTAAGTGATCAATTTATGTCTTAATAAGAATAAATTTCTTTGCTTTTTTTTAAAGTAATACATTTGATCGAATGTATGCAAAAATGGATACATTATGGAAATTTCATCGGTAATTTTTCTGAAAACGAATATATTCTCTTTGATTATTTATTGATTTGTTTGTTTTTAATCTATTAGTTATCATATCATCAAAGAATATACAATTCTTGCTCCATTACCTCCACCATTGAATCTACTTAGTATTGGAAATTATGAATTAAAACCATTTAATCGTAAGTTTAAATATTTAAAGAAAAGAAGAAAAAAGACTAAGAATCAATTTTGTTTTTCATTTGAATTACCTAATACTTTCCTCTGTTTTCTCTCTTTTCGTATTGTCTTCTATGTTCTAGGACAGACATCATTCATGGGTGAGTGCGTATCTCCCTTCTATCGTCTTTCTAGAGATTTTTATATATTTGGCTATTTTTTTCTCATAATGTTTGTATATGAATTGTGCTTTCCTCTAGCTTTCTTTGTTGCCTACGTAAATATGGAAGCACATATAGTTATATATAAATGTAAATTGTTTGTTTTTGAATACTTTTGTCTTTCTAGCTGAGTTACCATCTGAACAAATATTAAATTTACGACGACGTGAAGCACTTGCCTATGAAAGTGATGTATTTGAACAAGCAACAAAAGAGCAACAATCGGATGTTAATCAACAAGAAAAAATCGATTTACAATTACGTCAATTACGTAAAATGATTTCACTTGTTAAAGTTACATGTGAAGCATCAACGATAGATGATTGAAATACTCCCATCATGCATATGTATAGATGAGTATTTCTTCTTTTATTTTTCATTTGTCTTTCACTTGTATAAATACAAAGAATCTATTTTTTTGTGTATTCCTGCAATATGAATTTTATTTTATGAATAAAACCTTAATATGGCCTTTTTTTGAATAAATTTAAATAAATAAATGATAAGGTACAACACGAATTTACCGATAGACTACACAAAAATATATTGATGATTTTTTTTAAAACCTCAGCAAATCGAACGTTATGCTTATTTAAAAAAGTATGCAAAAAAACAATATTTCTAACATGTGAATCAATGTTTCAACCAGTGTATCGTTGCATTAGTCATCGAGAAATCGACCACGAAACTATGCTGACCGCTTCAAAATTAATCTGAATATAACAGACGCCACGTTTCGTAGATGATAATGTTGATGGTGGTGGTGAAAACAGTGATTAGCCGAATTTTGGTGATCATGGACGATTTCTCTTACAATGAAACACTCATCCGATTGATTCCTCAGTTTTGACTCATATTTAGTAGTGTAGAAGTCTTTAATTCGTTACAACTATTCAAGTTTTACATATATGCTGTGAGTGTGAATATATTTTATTCTCTTCACCAAGAGTCATACATACCTTCTTCAAAATATTTTTTTACGAACACATGCCTCCTTATTTTTGGTGCTTAAGATCACCTGGTCTTTGACTACTAATAAATGTTCGTATTCAATGTTTATGCGTTGGTAACCATTTTACAATCAAACGAAAACATCGTTGAACATAATCATGTAAACTTTTCCCCTCACCAATTATCATTCGACAGCGATCTGAATGTATTTCAATGTGACGACTAAGAAGATCTCTAAAAGTTGGTCATGTATATTGATTGATAAGCTTACTATGATTGAGACTTTTACAAAAAACTTCCCACATCAAAGTTGATCCATTGATAATACTATCAAAATTAAGGGTGTTAAGAAAATCAAATAATTCATAATAGATTTCAGTTAAACCATTGAGAATCAAATTCAGATCAGATGTTACTGATTGTTCACGTAACAATTCATTTTTGATGCATCTAATCGGCAATTTGAAATACCAACAAAACCGTATTCACATGTTTCAACTTCCGGTTCGTCATGAATTACTTTCAGTGGTTTGCATAGTGAGAGTTCAGTCAGATTGATCTCATCAGAAACTATCACTGCTAGAAGATGTGCTTCCAATTGAGCCTTTTGGTATTTCCCAGCTGGTTCAAAGATCTTGTCAATGCTGACAAATGTGCAATTTTAAGAATATTGATATGAAACTGTAATGAGTTCGGGTAGCATTCGAAAATATGAACTGTTTCATTTTTTTCCGTTAACATCAATAATTATGGTCTGTACAGCAAATGTTTGCTACAACCGGGTTGTCTACATAGCACAATATGAATTCAATAAACAATACACACAAGAAGAACAAATATATTTTCGCGCAGAGCTCAATTGTTACATGTATCTCTAGACAGTTCCATTTCATGTATCAACTTCTCTTCATCATCCTCAAGTTGTTTAATCAGAAAGCGTTTCTCTATTAATATCAACGAACAACATTCTGCTAAACTTTCTTTGAGCATATCGACATACGCATTTTTAAGCTCAGCAGAAGGTAATCGAAAGTAGTAACATAGAAAAGACCTGCGCAAAAGCAGCTCGTCGAACAACATTCAATGATAGAACAGGTGTATTAACAGAGTACACAATGATTGATTGATGACACCAATTGTTTAAACGACAAAATCGAGTGACACCTCTTAAAGAAATACTGGGTAATATCTTCAATTTTGCGTAATAATTGTGATCGAGATATGAGTTAAATAAATGCAATAAATGATTGTTGATATATTATTAATCAAGAACATGTTTTGAACATCATTCGAATATATTCTCGTTCAGTATATTAAGCAAGATATCCGCACTTCTAGGTATATTCCAGCATAGCCGCTGGATTAGGCACAATTGTATATAATAGACACATACTACCGACGAGTTTTTTCATCGTTTCATAGCGATCTTTTTTTATCCCAATATTATTTTCATAGGATATCCATTGTTCACTGCTTTTATGTTGACCCACATTAGTTCCACCAAAAGAAATACCATATTCTCTGGTAAGCAGTCACTCAAAATTCTAAAAAGACATCTGATATAAACGGATTTGTTCTATTTAAAAAATGATTAAAACATTACTATTAGTAATGTTTT